CAGCAGGAAGGAGAAACCAGGAGGGCAAATCAGCTCTGCTACCCCGCAGCAAAATCACAAGGCACAAACCTGCTCCCAGCTCTGGCAGGGTCATACAATAGCAGTGCTTCCCAGAAAGAGCCCCAAGAGAAACACAGACGGAGGCCAGGATGCAGCAGAGCATCACCAACTCCCAAGCAAGCACTGATGCAGCTGTCTCACCTCTGGGAAAGGACTGAAATCACTCACCAGCCCCAAGCCCAGTGGTCCCCATGCTCCACCCTCAGTGCACCATCAGACTGGCATTAAGTCTCTCAGCTCCATGTGCCCCTCTTTGGGGCAAGAGCACCAGCTGGGTAACGCTGTGCCTGGAGCCAGTTTCCTTCCTCAGCTCTGGAAGGCATGGGAGAACATGGAGACAGCACACTGGTGCAAGCAAGGTTGCGGGATTTGCCTACTTTATAGTCACTCCAGCCCGTGGGAGTTGCTGGGGTGTCCTCCAAGCCTTTGGTGAAGCAAGGTTTGGGGGGGGGGGGGGGGGGCCCCGAAGCCTTTGGGGAAGGAAGGGTGGGGGGGGGGGGAAGAGGGAGGAAGTTGTCAGGAGCACAGGGTGTTGGCGGGAAGGGCCAGCTTGGGGTCACTGGTCTGGGCAGGAGGACCAGAGGTGCAAACCCACTCTGAGCTCAGGGATTGTCCTGGTCCAAGCAGACAGGCACCATGGCAATTGTACAAAGCTAGTTTCCTCCATCTCCAGGATTGAGAGAGGGCATGAGACACAGTGATCATTCCAGTCCCGCACAGCCACGAGCACCCTGCTGTACCTGGAAAGCCACCGAGGCACACTGCTCTGCAGGGCTGAGGCAGGACAGGACCACGGGCCCAGCAACACCGGGGAGGCAAAAGGGCATCTGGGAGGCAGCAAAGATAGAGGCAGGCAGGGGGCCCAGTCCCGGCTTGAAAGGAGGCTCCCGTCCACCAGTCTATCCCAGCCCCGGGGCACGTCGGGGAAAGCCCGGGGGCGCTCGCCCCGCCGCCGCCGCCGCCGCCCCGG